TACACGATGGACTAGAAGCAATGGGATCAAACATATTTTCGATCAACGTCCATGGACATAAARTACATCCATACTTATCAACARTMATTGGAATTTCATTGACGAAAAATGTTACTTTTTTCTCGTCGAGGCAATCGTAAAGTACGGCCTACAAATTTGATGCAAAAAGACTTAAATATAATGATTTCCACTTTCTATTGCGCATATCATTGAAGTTTGAACTTAGCAGAGGTGTAGTGTCTTTGGCAAAACCTAGTCTAACAATTGCACTAAATACGTTCGCTGAATGGCCAAAATAAAACACTCCTTTTGGCCCAAGTTGTGTATGAGATTTATTTCTATGAAAATAAAATAAAATGTATTAACCCATAAATAAATAAAAATTCATAGTTAAAATTGTATGTTACACACCTGAAATTATCTATGAGATCTTTATTTTAAAATACATTTCTTCAACGGACTTGGAGACAGGCTCATCAGCTTCGTTGAATTCCCCGATATTGTCATTCATACATTCAGTGCATCGACAACAGCCTCCTGTTCTAAACGAAATTTCGAAACAACTGTAACATTTTACCGGTTTTTATCGGTTATCGGTATTGAAATGCGTGTCTAGGTACTGTGCACACGTTATTCTGTAGACGTCCCTAATATAAAATGCCATACAATGTACACAATAATATTTGATGTGYTCTTTTCGTTATTCTGCTATTCATGAGGATGGCCGAYGCCACGGGTGGGTTTATCGGTAGATGTTTTATTTGATCTTCTTCAAGATTAACGACGTTTATTGTCAATATTACACTGTCAGTGTTATTATTATTATTATACACCCTCATAATGGTTTATAGACACAATGATATATATTTTAAAACGTGATTTTTAATCTTGACTAATGTTTACGCTGTACTGCCGTAGCGCCCRTAGCTAGCAGGTATTGGCGGCAGATAGTCGGTCAAGAAAGATAAACAATAATGTTTAGAAATGATTGCATGCCTATTATTACTGGGCAGTTGTAAACTTMGTTAGAATACCGGTTAGATAAAAAGGACAAAAAGTAATACAATGGCGTCATATAAACCCCGCCAATGTTATTTTCTTACCTGATATGGATACATGGGAAACCCGTATTCGGGAACACTGAATTTCTCGGCTGGATTATGTTGGAATAAATCGAATTTTTGTTACAAGCTAGTGGCATATAAATACACATTTTCAGATATTTCTGACATTTTCTGACATTTTCAGTAGCAACCGGTATTTTTGATACCAAATTCGGATAGACTGAATTTTTAAGTTATTTTAACCAATTAACCATGGCTCTAAAACCAAAATTGACTGAATAACAGCCATTCAAATTTTAACAAATAATACATTTTTATAGATCATTATCAAATGCATAAAACCATTTAAAATAATTTATTATTGGTTACTTTTTTAATTTTTTTATTTTTTTTTTTTTTTTTATGTGCTATAAATAAGATTAACATAATATGGATGTAAAATAATATAATTAAAATGTATAACAACTGTAAAAATATTCCACTGTATTACCATTAGATTGTATAAAAGATTCGATTTATTCCAACATAATCCGGCCGAGAAATTCAGTGTTCCTTAAATTGGTGAACACACGGTGTTATATAAATAATATATATAATTATATATATATTCCGGAACTGCAAGCAATTGTACTCCACCGAGAAGTAAATAATATCAGTAAAGAATAATTTAATAATGCATAAATATTGGCTATTAGTTATAGACATAGTAATCTCTATTAATATTTTACAATTTCTTTAGGCATGCTATAAATAATTTGCAAGTGATAATTTTTTGTTAGTAACCAATAATTATTTTATTATATTTTTCATAGTTTATTATTAAGCCTGGTTATTACTATACCCTATACCATGTTCCAAACTAACTAAACCTTTTTATTCTGTTTCATCTAAAATAAGATCATTTTGATTGTAATTTTAGCTCTCAGAATTTCATAAATAGTAAATTTAATGTTTTACAAAAAGTTAAAGATTATAAATACTTCAGTATTACATTAGATTATAGATTAAAATGAGCATATCATATTTATAGTTTTAATTTTTAATTTTTAATCTACGTTAATTTTTATATTTTTTTTAAAGATGTTAAACGAAATCTTATCAAAACGAAGAGAATTATTTATATAGCATTGGTGATGTCTATTTTAAAGKTATGAAATGAGGTTTTTTAGATGTACTTAAGATACACATTTTGAAAGATTTAAAATTTCATCCATTTTTAAATTGTTATGTGCAAATCTAGGTTTCATAATGTACCTACAGTTTATTTTTGACGTACTTAATGTATCATTTTTTGATAAGCWATTTTATCCTAATTTATTATTACTGTTCTATAAACATAAACATCTACTTACCATTGTGAATCATAACTATAACCTTAGATATAAATGCTACATAAAATGTATTGTCAGMTAAATTTTCAGGTAGTAACTCAACTTCTGGTACTCAATGTAAATTAATTGTAGGCTCTAATTTATGAAAAATTGAACGTTAATTTATGTACTTTCAAAAGTTTTAAAGGATTATTTTTTCTGTATATAAAACAGATTTTAGAAATTTTTAAACAAAATAAATGTTAATAATTCTTTAATTTATTCTTATTTGTTCGTTAATAAATTCTGTTATTTGTGTTATATTCCTTCAGACAAAAATATTACATAATAAATTGTTTAAACTGCTTTGATCTCAATATATCGGGGTGATTATTTTATAAATTCATAATTCATGAGAAACCCTAAAATTTTCCAATATTGAACCTCCCCCCCCCCAACATTTTTATTAAGCTTAAAAAGAGGACATATACCGGGAAAAGAGGACTTTCTTTGTTAACTCTAGTCATTGTAGTAATAACTATTATACTTCTCATACAATTATAATAATTATTAAAAATTATGTTCTATAATCACAAAAATCTAACAATTATCAACCAATATTGGTTTTATTTATATAATTTATTGGGAACTAGGGAAGAGAATACATGGACAAAACTATAGGCTATTTTTTTCTTCATGTGTAAAATTACTAGTTTCAATAACAGAGTTTATTGTAGTATTTTTTATTATCCTTAAACAACAGAATTATCAACATTTACAACATGTCAATTAGTATAATTATTATAACAATTAACGATATGGTACAGTCATCGATATATTAAACTACTAGATGGTCTTCTTCCCTATACAGCCAATGTATTACAATGAAGTTTGGTGCAACACGCTATGAGTGGTTTGTTTACATCTTTTATCACATATTATACAACCCACAATACCAAAGTCGTAATTCCAA